ACCTGAGTCGTGGCACTTCGGTGCCCGGGTCATAGTTGTTCAACTGAACTGAACTGCCCGGTCCAAATTGACTATGCGCAGACACTACAAAATAGCATCAGCGAAATGAAAAAAGCCCATTTTCACTTGAGCAAACGGTCTCGAAACCGGAGCATCATGGTTTCTGTATCGGCTCACAAGCGAGACAGATAGGGAAAGATTGTGTTGCGGTAAAGGGTAAGTACGTTTAGTCGTGTTGAAGAAATAGATGCCGTAATGGCTGGAACAGTGTGTAGGGAGTGGGAAGGATTATTTAGAATCATGGATGAAGAGTTGAGGCACGCGTCAAAGTGCCTGTTAATGATAAAATCAGCTAGGGACTCCTTGCTTAATACACAGCATCGGCAAAAAAACTATAGTGAACGCACAGGAAGAGTATGATCCATTCGAAGAAGTCCGGGGAAATGAGAGGAGTGTCCGGGTTGGGAGGAGAAATACCGAATCACCTCCAACAGGGGAACAAGACAGCAAATGGGGGAAATACATTTATTTACAGATATTAGAATTAGAGCACGGGGTACGTAGAACACTTCAAGTCTTAAATCATAAAAGAATAGTCATTTGACGTTTTGAAGAGTTTCAAGAATATGCGTCGACTAGGATAAAATGTAAAACAAGAAAAACGCCGAGACACTTTAGAGTGCATAAAGGAGGGTTGCTTTGGTCACTTAGGATCAAAGGAGGAGAGGTATTTAAGGAGGAATGCAGTCTGTCCGAATGGAGAAAAGCAAATTTGACATTACAACAGATAAAGGGTTAGGGGAAAAGGAACGGGAGCATGACCAGTCCTTGTTGAAATTTCGATGATTCCTTAATTATTGAGGCCATACACCCTGGAACGATATCATTAGCCCAGGGTAAAACCTCAAGGGACTGAACCAAAGTGTTTAACATATAGAGGTCTAGATCCATATGGTTTGCATGTTGAAGGTCCAAGCAATGAAAAACAGACCGACTTAGAGAGGTGGTCAATATATCGATTTGGTCAGCTTCGGAGATTTTACATCCGATTAAACTGGATGGTTTCAGCAGACATTCGACATAGAAAGAAAACAGAGAGAATAAAATAGCATCTTGCGAAACACCACAACTGACTGGGATTGCGAAAGACTTTTTAAAACAATATCAGCGTGAAATGTGTGTGATTTGCAAAGTAGTCATGTATTACAATACATACATATGGAGGAACGCTGTGTTCCAACAAAATAGCCAGTAGAAATAATCTGTGAATGTTTCCAAAGACGTTAATCATAATTGAGGAACAGGAGCAGCAGTCTTACGTTTTATTATCCAAAGCAAATGCAATGGAATGCACAAGATACGTAACGGCATCCAGTGTAGTGCTCTGGCTGGTAAGCAAACTTTGCATGATCGCTTGGGAAAATGCGAAAAATTACTAGCCTTTCAAGTACTTTCAACGGCACGGAGGTGCAAGTTATTAACCGGCACTTCCTTCTCAAGCCCTGGTGTTATTCCGGTTGCTTTCCAGCTATCGGGGATGGTACCAGTTGTTAAAAACGGTGGAAAATCCCTGTCAGAGGAGGATCCAATGTATTCGCACACTTTTCCGAAGTGATTGGTGATCGATTTCATTGCATTTGCAATCAGGTATCGCTTGCAGCACACGAGCAATGAACCAGTCCATAATTTCATCTAATTCTTGGGAGTCTAGAGGAGTAATATCTAGCTGCAAACACACTTTGACGAACACCCTAAGGAGCACTTCATGTGTCCAGAGCGCTGAATATGGTAGAACAGATGTTGTCAATGCGGAGGACGCAGAAATATCGTTTACCTTCATTCCCAGGGAACTGTAAAAGTTTCGCTGTTTCTCTCCGTAAGAGATACTGCTGGATTCAAGCTTGAAAGCAGTTCCAGAGAATGAATAAAGGTACTCCGCTATCGATTCCAAGTATCCAAAAAAGATTTGTTTGTAAAACAAGACTAGAAGACCGGTGGAACACCCGCGATAAATATGTTAACCCCAGTCGCCAAATGTCACGTCTCACTCCTAGTAGTATGTATGAGGGCTCTTAGTCAAGAAGGAAGGCAGCGTGCGAATCACGGACAGTATACACAACATCTGGCTTGATAGCAGGACTGTGTGTGTGTATGCATTCGAACGTGCGTGTGTCCAAAGGACCTATCAGAGTAAGAGAAGCGCAGTCAAAGATCGTTAAGTAAACACGTGACAGGTGACGAGGCTGCAAGTCATGCGAGTTGTAAACACTGATGTAGTTAAAAGAAGGTGGGATAATCAGTAACGTGGAAGGAAAGTGCGAGGAATGTGTTTGATGATGAGGAGTTAGAACCTTGAGTTGAGGTTGTTCACATCAGCAGTACCGAGTGTGGTATTGGAATTTCTGCCCGCAAGTTACTTCAAGAGCATTCATAGGTCAAGGTAACCGTGGTTTCCTAAAACAGCTTCAAGGTACAGACTGTTTAGCCTTCTTGACTCTGCCGCTATAACCAGAGACATTTGACAGGGGCCGTTAGCCAGTATTTGTAAGCCAGCTTTTGCTACACAGTTGCTTGAGTAGTGGAGATGAAAAGCTAGCAATCCGTGAGTAGATGGTCTCAATGGGGCAACAGAGATTGAAACAGAAATTAACATAGCTTGTGCGGTGCTCGCATTGACCAGACAAGTCTGCGTTCGTAAAAATGTGAGATCGCTTGGAGAGAGGTACAGGTTGAGATTTGCAATATTTTCTCACCATCGTCAGGATCATTACACGTTAGCTGAGGGTTAGAAACACACCTCGTCTAATGATTCGCAATATAAGAAATATAAGAGATCAAACAATACCGACTAAAAAGCTATAGAAAAACAAGGTAATGCTAAATATTTCATTGTGAATAGGGTTTTAGATCGTTATTGGAAAGAGAAGCTAAAAGGGAGAGCACGGACTAATGGACTCATAACGCAAACGCCCCCGAGGTGGGTACCTAGTCATATCAACAAGTGTATCCAATCAAACGTGTTCACCGTCCTTCGGCTCCCAGCCCGGCAGTCGGAAAACCCCAACCTAAGCCAAATTCGAAGTGAGGGACTTTATTCCACTTGACAAAGTCATCACTTGGCCTCCCCTCCTCTTCTTCCATCCAGACGCCGGTCGCGCAAACAACGCACGACGCGGGAATCAGTGGGCTGGCATGCGCAACACGTGGCCCAGCGATCGGAGCCTGGTGCGTGATATAACGATGCTGAACGATTCATTCGATCTTTCTGCACCAAATACGTGACGCCGAACACCGGACATGAGCAATGCTAGGAAGGTAGCAATGATCGAACGTAACTACCCGGGTTTGCGATAAGCAGCAGATGTCGATCAACAGGGCCTCTGGTGTACGGGCAAGTGCTGCCTATTAGTCAATCCGCAACAAAGTGCGCACGTTGAGACATGCCAGTCTTAGCGAAGATCAGGGGTTCCGAAGAGAAACGCTTGAACTGACAGTGTCCGTTTGGTCGGACATGGACTTGTCGACTGGACTGGAGGGACGCCCTGCGATTGCGTGCGAGTCGAAACTAGAAGATAAACGATTACTGAACCGAGATGGGAGAGGGCCAAGAATTGTGGGGTTAAAAACAAGGGGGATAAAAGTGAAGCTGGAACGGGACAACTGAGATGGAAAAGTGCGAGAGAAGGGAAGAAGACTGAAGGATTGAGCAGTAGCATATAGACCATTATTCACCTTGTTCGATTCAGTAGACCATACGCTGTTGATAATCCTCTGTGACGGCCAAAGCATCAGAAAATCGTTTGAATGTAACGTCACTCTATTGCATGGGCAGGATACTGACCGGTTGCCCAGGCCTGAACAACAGTTTCGCTGTTTAACCGTTCTGAATGGCGTTTTATGTCATCGCAATGTAGTTGACCTTACAGCAGCTTTTGAGACATGCATTCACGCCGAGTGGTAAGCTTTACTAAGGGGGGCACGACTTTATGTGGAAAACAAATTAGTAAAAACAAGATCCAGATGTGCATCGAATCTGGTGGGGAATCCCACCGAGTTGGTTAGACTCGACGTGTTAATGAAAACTATGTCATCCATATTGAAGTTACCAGCGATGACACAGATGGAACATTTTAACTTCGGTCGCAACTCCGATCTGTTCATCGCTGATAGGTCAGAAGCTAAACAAACTTTCTCAACCACCAAGAAACAGTGATTTAAATTCCAACAGGTAGTAGCTAATAGAAGCTGTTGAATAAGCGGAGAGCTGTGGAAGCGATGTACACCAGTTTTTGGTAGTGTAGGTTTTTAAGCTTCCTCCGCGGAGCCATCGAATTTAACGACTCCACCTTCAATATCGGAATGTAACCAAATTTCCTGTAACATCGTTAAATCTGCATTCATAAATTATCTTCGTCGTAAAAGGTTCACGACAGCAACGGTTTTCCCGAGAAGCGACTGTATATTAATAGAGGATAAACAGAATATGTGCAGATGATAGTATTTGTAAAAACACTTTAGTGAGTGCGGGACTAAGTGGATCAAAGGATTGCATTCATAAATTATCTTCGTCGTAAAAGGTTCATGACAGCAACGGTTTTCCCGAGAAGCGACCGTAGATTAATAGAGGATAAACAGAATATGTGCAGATGATAGTATTTGTAAAAACTCTATAGTGAAATGCGGACTAAGTGGATCAAAGGATCCTCTCATGAGACAGCTAGACGCCATCAGAGAAACGTAAGATATCCGGAAATGGATTACGAGAAATGTTTAAATAAGGAAGGTCGTGGTGAATTCTCTACGACTGTGGTCAGTGGTAACATTTCTTTGAGAAGCCCAATAAATGTCACAAGGTGCGGATTCATTCAAGCGGCCGAGTGTTCATTGCTCCTGGGTGAACTGATGTGGAACCACAACGATACATTAAAGACAATCGCATCAAAGATGCTCGGAATATGTTGCCCGCAACGGTTCCACAAACGTATACACAAATAGCTCACCTGAAGATATCGTGGGGCAACTTTCTGCGACAGTGGTGTGCATCTTGCGGAATTCGCATTCAGCCTCCTCACGTGTGACATAGAGAGGATCGAAGGCCTCATCCAACAGTCGGGACATCTCGAATTCTTCATATTCAGGACTGTGAGAAATGACAGAAACATGCAAAACCAGAGCAGCGTGACTTAGCGATGAATGTGGGGACTAATTTATAAGTCTCAATGAGTCTGAGCATTTCTTTGGAGAAAAAGACCTTGAAAGTGTGTGATAAGTGGACCAAAACATAGGATCGTCTGAGATGCATACACATAAGACAGTGACGCATAAAACGAATTAATGGGACAAACTCGCCTTGGGAGAATAGCAGCAACAATGTATCATGACGATGTCTTGGTGTAAGACAATCATTAATAGAAAATATGTCGATTGAATTGATGAAAGAATAGAAAAAAGACGGATTGCCATCAGTTGGCTGCGATGTACAGGCCTTTTCATGGATTACGATCTCTCCGTGGATAGAAGACTCCCGTCAGCGAATGAATATGGCTTAAACCGAACAGTTTCCTAATCAGTAAAAATCATATGAAGTGTGACACAGGAGGAACATCCAGAGAGTCTACTTGGTGTGGTGTCAGTTGCGATATTGCATTCAAGTCTACGACATACAAACGCTACAACCATCTCTCAACGATCTGAATGTACTTCTTCTACTCTGTACAGTTGAAAACACTCGTCTGATCCCCTTGTTTTCCAGGAAATCGATAATGCTATTGAAGAGAGAACCGAAACCAGAGGATATATTGGAGTATGGGGCACATGAGTGGCTAGTAGAGAGTGAAGTGTAGGCATCAGTCGGTAGCGAAACGGGGTTCACAACTCGCATCAAAGTGGTTGTGGCCAACGCTATCACAACGATATCGGGCATGCATGACGTGGCAATCCAAATGCCCAATCCAAACCCCAAATTGGAGTACTCGTTTCTGCTTAGGTCTGAATGCCCAAATGACAGTAGTTGTACCGCGATGAAGTATCAATACAAGGTGTTACTATGGTGCAGACACTACAGGTCAGGCTTACTCCGTGAGCGAACACGCAAGTGCCAACTAGGAGCCAGAACAGAGCCACAGTCCAGTCCCGCCAATAATAAATGCACAAAAAATATGCAACAATATCACAGCAATACGATGAGAAGAACGCCGACAAGACGAGCAAGAGGAGAGGAAAACCCGGCGACAAAATGAATTGAAGTGTTAGACAGATTGGGAGCGTAAATGCAGAAAGACGTACGTGACAAACCCATTCCAAGGTCGACAGCAGTACTGCATTTGAGATTGGGCAAAGACGACAGGAGCGAACGGATCTGTGTGTTCTTTGACCGCTTCCGAGATAGCCTAAACAATGGCAGAAGAAAGTTCATCAAATGTGCCGTAGTGGACTAATTGTTATACCATCAAGAACAACGGCACGATTGCAAAATATAAGACAAAAATAGCAAGGTAGAAGTGTAAAAAGTATGAAAACCGTGAAGAAAATGACTGATGATCACTGACCTCAGAAGAGTGACAGTTGGATCGCACACACACCGCGAACAAAGCAGAAGACAGACGAGGTGATTTAACGAAAGTTTGCTCCTTAGTGTCAGGCAGAGAACAACCGGCTCATTTTCCAACAGCTTGTTGAATGCCATGACTAATATGTATGGCCGTTAAATCTGACAGAAGGAGTGTTAGCAAGGTTAATTTCAAACTACGTCGTTTGAAAGAAGATGGTACAAAGCAGATATGTCCGACATTCAAAGGAAAGAAGGAAGCGGAGAGCTGTTGAAAAGACGTGGCCAGATACCCAAGCAAACTCAAAGAAAGAGGAAGAGTGAATTAAAATTAACTAACTCTTTAGACAATCGACAACCGAGGAACCAGTGAATAGGAGCACCTCTGATGATTCCCGGCGGTGATACGCTTCAGGACACAATCAGGCTTGGTTCCGTTTAGTGCACATGAAGTGAAACCTCGAGGAAGATTATTGTAACGGGGTTTAGGAAACCAGTCCAGTATGCTCGACCTTACCACCTAAGCGCAGGTTACCGGAGTCAGCGGATCAGTTCGATCGAGAGAACGCGTGAACCCACCGGGAGACACAGCGATGACTGGACAGCGAATCACGAGTGGCACACGTATCCAGAAACCGACAAACCGGGTTGGACAATAGAACATAGAGGGCGCACTGGCAACTCGAGAATCGCTATTAACGGCAAGTTTCAGAGTGCAAAGCCGAATATGAGTGGTCCAAAGAAATACGGCCAATCAGATGCCAAGCACGAAAGACGTGATCATTGCGCGAGACAGGAAGACAGCGACCGAAGAGGAATAACATAACCCAATGAAATAAAAGGGGAACGCAACCAGAGGTGAGCCGAAAAACAGGAGACCCACTGAGAAGGCTCGAAGACTAACAGTGTTTATTTCCTTTAAATAGGCGACACTATACGGAATAAACACCTGTTTTCCGCCCGCCGCCATCGTGACTTTTTGATCGTGTCCGTCTCACTTAACAATTATGACAATCTGAATTGAGACAACAATGCGCCCCAGATGATGACTGTGTAAGGTTCTGGTAACAAAAGGTATGTATTAGGTTGGTAATAAAGTTATTGCGGTTTTTCGATAAGTTGCTTTGAGGTTGTAGATAATTTTGAAACCTGTTTTGAGCTCTAGCTAACAATAGTGCAAGTTCAGCTCAGAAACACGTTTTAACATCTGTAGAGAACATTTAATGCAACATGAGCAGAAGACGAATTCGCACAACTGGCTTGTTACAATTCAAACTTGATCAAAATGCAGCAGGAGCAGTCCATGACATCCACAGTGCATATAGTGCTGGAAGCACTGATAAGCGTATTGCAAATGGTTTCAAAAATCTCCGAAAAGGTTACGAGAGGCCTGAAGTTGAAGATGGTTGTGGACGGTTATTGGAAGCGAACAACGATCAATTAAGGGCCATATTCAAAGCTGATCCACGTAAAACTATTCGAGATTTTACTGCCGACTTAGCAGTACTTCATTGGCCAGTTAAAACATTAACGGGAGATTGGAATGTAGAAAGAGCTTGATAAGTGAATGAAAATCAAAATCGTCGTTTTGAGTTGTCGTTCGCCCTTCCTCTGCACCATAAAAAGGCCCGTTTATCGACTGGATTGTGATTTGGGATGAAAAGTTGATCCTATGCGACAACTGACGACGAGCCTCACAATGGTTGGACCACCATCAAGCGCCACAACACTTCCCAAAGCCGAAATTGCACCCAAACAAGGTTATGGTGACTGTTTGGTGGTCTGCGGCTGGTCTGATCCACCAAAATTTCCTGAATCCATGGAAAACCATTACAGCGGAGAAGTACTGTCAAAAATTGTCGAAATGCACCGAGAACTTCAACACAGATGCTCGGCAATGGTCAATAGGAAGGGGCCAATTATTCTCCATAACGGTCGGCCGCACATCGCACAAACAACTCGGCGGAAGCTGCATGAGCTGGGCTACAAAACTTTGCGTCACTCACCATATTCCCCTGACCTCTCACCTATCTATTACCACTTTTTCAAGCAGCTGTATAGCTATCTCCGAGAGAAAAGTTTTAAAACGCAAGGGGCTGCTGAAACCGTCTTCCATGATTTCATCCCCACAAGAACTCGGGAATTTAATTCATCCGGGATAAATAAACGTGGTCCTCTTTGGCAAAAGTGTAGCCATTCAAATGGTTTTTAATTCGAATAAAAATGTTAAGTTTGAGCCAAGATAGGTGCATCTAAAGTTTGAGGTCAAAAACCGCAAAATTTTATTACCAACTTAGTTCAATTGCACTCTGCCCGCACAAGCATCGAAAGCCGAGTACAATGATATATTCTACCGCCATACCGTTCAATCAACTTGGACACGTTCGCAACGTTAATAAGTTCAATGCAGTGGGGTCCAGACGTTGTCGGTGAAATATTTTATCACAATACAAACATAACAGCACACAAAAGATCACACATTTATCACAATATTAACACGATCGTTCCGGTCTTGAGAAAGAAACGCCCCAACACTAATGCGAACGTTCGCGCCAGCACTGTTGCTAAACGAAAAATCAGCAAACTGGTCAGCTGCTGTAAGAAATTCACCAAACTATAACAGGTCCATAAGGCAAGCTTCAAGTTAGAACCTGGTCGAGCTGAGAGACGGTGTTATGAAGAACATGGAGCTCTCGTAGATTCAAATAAGCTGAAGAAGCTCACACTGCTTCTCACGTTCATTGCAATGTCTAACACTACATCAACGGATGATCCTGTAGACATTAGTAATCTTTTCAACGAGTATTATCGTTCGTCCTTCAACTGCCATACAAATGACCAACACACCATACCATGAAAACGGCTCACACAAGACACATTGTGGATAGAAGACTTCTCTACAGCGAAACAATGAAATCGCTTAGCGTCATGAAGCCGTGCTATAATGGTGGTCCTGATGGCATTCCATCAGATTTATTGAAATACGGAGGTCCGGATATCTCAATACTTTTGCAGAACGTATTGACCTTGTCAATGAAGGACAGCACTGTGCTGCATCACTGGAAACACGATGAGGTTGTAAAAGGCTCAAAACGGGATGTTGCAAATTACCGCCCGATTAGTCATAGTTCCATACTTCTTAAAAGTATGGAGAGGATTAAAAAGGCCACAACCTCCAAGTTTGTAATATCAAGGAACCTAATCAGCAGATCACAACATGACTTTAGTAAGCAGCATTCTTGTCAGTCTTGACAACTAAACTTTTTAAACCACATCACGGATCAGTCGACGGTAGTAAAGCTTATATTATCATATTCCTTGACATACAAAAGGTCTTTGACCAAGTACCCATGGTAGGCTTTTGATCGCTCTAACAGGGTGTGGCATTGTTGACCATCTACTTCCATAGTTCTCCTCATGACGACAGAACCCAAGCAGTCAAGATAGGGAATCACACATCAGGTTGCACCCCTGTGACGAGTGGCGCCATTCAAGGCAGCGTTTTGGGACCACTTCTCATCCTGATGTACATAAATGGTATTTTTGACATTATTGTCTATGGTAGACCCTACATGTTTGTGGATGATACAAAAGTTGTATATACATTTGATCCCAATCACCAGGAGTCTGTGATTCGAAACATACAAACTGACCTGAGTGCAGTTGAAGGATGGTGTTGCATTTCAAAAAGGAATTTCTCCTATTACTTATGAGTAGAAGGATTTTGGTGAGTATTTTTGTTCGTCGCGATCAGCCGACAATTCAGATAATTCGACTACCTATCCGGCAAAGCACCAGATTGCCGTTTCGTCCTATTGGGGTTCGTCAGTGGTGCGCATCCTTCGGTCCTCTACGGAGGATCGAACCCATGACGTCTAGTGGCTTATGCCAACTAGCCGGCAGCTTATGTAACTGCGCCATGGAGGACGGCAGCCGGCCATCACGAATTGTTAACTAACTGCGATATAGCCCGACCCATCCTCCACTGTCATGCAGATGACAGCGGTTGGCCTTCCGGCGTCAGGACTTCGCGGTTACGGCAGCTATGAATTGACATAGCATTTATGGAATCCGAAAGGGCGAATTCTCCGTCGAAAAGAGTAAAACCATCTGATACAAATGTGATATGAATGTCCAACCACTAATTTTCTTCGGCAACCCCCTAGTATATGGTAAGCAAGTAAGAGACTTAGGGCTTCACTATTCCAGCAGCCTTAACTTCTCCGAAAATGTACAGTACACTGTCGCTAAGAGAAAAAGAATGCACTGTTTCGCAAACTCTCTAACAAATGCTAAACTTACACTGTACAATACTTGTACACGCCGAATGTTAGAGTACTGCTGCATGGTATTCGGCAATGCAAGGCAGAGTGAGACAAAGGCATTACAGCGCGTTCAAGGTGCATTTACAAGACAGATCCTGAGCCCTACACAGAGGTTAACATACTCTAAAGGCTGCAAATTGCTGATGTTAGACCCGAGATGGATGCGCAGAATAAAGCTAAAGATACCGCTGCTTTTCTATGTAGTTCATGGGCGCATTCATATACCTGTATAATCTCCCCAGGTACAACACAATAAGCCCTACCTTATCCATAAGAAAAAATGCACACTTGCGATTGCAAAGTCGCACACCAACATACGTGCAAACTTTTTCCTCATTAAATATACATTGATTTGAAATCGTCTTCCACTGTCCATTAGATCATGTACATCTCCTCACATGTTCCGTGTACAGATAGATAAATTTTTCACAGTTCCGAAAGCTACGCAACTGGATATCGTGGAGACAGCGATTTATCCGAAGGGACTAAAGGGCATTTAATACATGTCGGTGATATCTCCCGGCCGTACACTAAAAAGCTTCAGTGCTATCACAAAAGCCATAAAAACAAACTGAATTTATATGCCCACTTTTCCAAATTTATCACTTTCGCTCCTTACCGGCAATACCAACGTCAAGCCCACATATCAATATGGTGGTTAAAGAGGGGTGTTAGACCGAGTCCTCTCCTTCATTCATCCGATCAATGTGATGTTCTTTCCTTACTCGGCCACGACGGCCTCGAGGGTTTTATGCGTACGTGGAAGTCAACGATGAAAAGTAAACCGAGTCCTCGTTTTCACTCCTTGGACCGCTGTTATATCCTCTCATTAACCAGCCATGCCTATCTCAAGGTCTCCATGACCACATAGAAGCCTATGTAGAAGGCCAACCAAATACTCATTCTCTTGTACCGACGACTGTTACACTGTTCCTTTCCAATTATTTTGCATAGAGCGATAGTTGCTATTGCTAACTATGTCACAGTAAAAACGAGCGCGTGCATCAAGATACCATTAAAGATAGATGTTTTGTGCCTCCTTAAACCAGTGTTTGAGTACCGCCTTCGTTACAGATCTCGAAATATTCGCAAACTTATTGGCGATACATAGGAATACAAGCCTGAAACATGCTAATAAATGACCATCACGAACATACATCCTTGTGCACATTAATTGAAACAAACTACGATTGTCTCTTTTTCTAAGAATATCATGTTTTTATACATGAAAGCTGCCGTTTTGCCTTTAATTTTTTATTTTATTTTGGGAATAGATATTTCACCATTGTCTGTAAACCAGACCATGTAATAACTGCGCATGTCTAGTCGTTACATCACCCAAAATTGCATCATACTTTTTATGGTTAGTAAGACTTTTGTTTCAACTTCTTGTATTTTGTGATTCAGTCATTGTTTGAGATGGACGTGACTCCCAGAAGGCGCATGAAGATCGTGACCTTGCACGAACACACAGACAAGACTTACAGGGACATAGCAAGAATAGTAGGCGTCAGTCCGGCAATCGTCAGCCGTGTGGTCAAAATGAAAAAGGAAACGGGATGCGCTTTGCCAAAACGCAAAGGGAAATGTGGTCCTAAGAGGAAAACCACTGCCAGGGATGACGATTACCTAATACGGGAGTGTTAAAGATCCTCGAAAGACCAGTGACGCATTAAAACGTGACTTGGGGGAGAAAGGAATAGAAATCAGTTCTTCAACGGTTCGCAGGCGACTCCTGGAAGTTGGTCGGAAAGCCAGACGGCCTGTGAAAAAACAACTTCTGACAAAAGTAATGAAAGTTAAGCGTTACAAATGGGGACTAAAATACAAAAAGTGGACAAAAGAAGATTGGAGAAAAGTCCTATTCAGCGATGAAAGCCATTTCTATGTTCATGGTCAGAGAAGTCAGTATGTTCGGAGGTCAGAGGGAGAAAAGGTTCGTGATTCCCACATTGACCACTTTGTGAAACACCCACAAAAGCAGATGTTTTGGGGGTGCTTTAGTTATTACGGCGTCGGCGCCTTGCATCCAGTCCAGGGCATGATGCGCTCTCCACAATATATAGAAGTTCTCCAAAGAAGAGCTGTTCCAGAACTAAAAAAGACATTTCCTGACGGATCTGGCGTATTTCAACAATATCTGGCCCCGTGCCATACATCAAAAATGGTCAAGACTTTTTTCAATACTAGTCAAATAACCACCCTGGACTGGTCTGGGAATTCACCATTTTTAAACCCCATTGAAAATATGTGGTCTATTTGCAAGCAACGCCTTCGTAGCATGGACTCTACGACAAAGGAGAAACTTAATCAAGCTTTAATTCAAGTTTGGTACAGGGACCCAAGATGGGCTAAAGTTTGTTCAAATTTAGTGAATTCCATGCCAAACCGTATTAAAATGCTACTCAAAAGTCGAGGAGGTCATGTTGTGTATTGATGTGAGCATATTAGTGCAATTCATTATAACAATTTTGAAAAAAGGTTTTTCAGTGTTTTCGCAGTTTGTTTCAATTAATGTGCACAAGGATGTAATATAAGTAGCTAACATGCATACCTCCCTTACCTATGTTTACGTTCTGTGTGCCGCTAAACACATCACTATTAGCCTGTGTCATATTTTCCTCACAATATTTTAGGTTTGTTAAAACTGACATATTCACAGCAGTCTTCTTGGCCCGCATATCGTCTAATCTGCTCACCGTGTTATTTTCCCAAGATGTCCCTTCCCTCGAGACACGTCCAAAAACTGCGAAGAAATATTCCAATACGCCTGGCTGCTTGGCGTATTGATTGCGTACTGCGACGCGATGGAACAACCTAGCTCAAGCCGCCCCCGGCTACAGTGATATGACAGACTAGACAGCATATAAGCGGCAAAAAATGCTACATTGCATTATTTTCGTGAACTACCAATGAACACGTGGTTGACACTGTTCTGACTGACCATTTGAGGTGACGCGTTCGCCATGCGTTCTTTTTTCCACTTATCTGAATCATCAACAAATATGAGAAATCCTTGAACAAGTTGCTGGGACTAACAAACTGGGCCATGTCTCACACAAAGGAGAAATAAACAAATATATTTACTTATTTTTCTAGTTAATTATTTATGTATAACAAATCGAGTAGTACAGGCTTAGTAAAGAGCGTTGAACCAAACCTTTTGTTGCGTTTCCGATTGCATGTCGAACAGCAAGGGGTACACGTCACGGTCGAAGAAGTGATGGAGAATAGTGGACTGTGAGTAGATACCAGAGACTGGTGGAATACAGCCACTCCCGTCGACGACCAAATGTTGCAGCCTGGAAGTCAACGACGGATCCGATCCAGCTACACTGATGGGGTGCATTTCCAGCCAATCGGTCAGTCTGTCAAAGAGTACAGTGAAAATATCTTAGATCAAAAAGTATATGTAGAAAATAAAGTGCATGTGCGACTGTCGATGGCTCCGCGGGAAATGCGAGTGCTATGCAACAGATACCACAGATACCAGATGTGCAAAGAAGTGATGGTACGAAAACAATGGCATTGGTAACGACCCATACATCCCATTTACCCAGCGACGGGTAGAGCAGAAAGGATAAGTTTGTGGAAAATACTGAAAAACATCAGAAATGTAAAGCATATTCCTCACCTAATGATTGGACCAAATTCACTGGACCGTGTATTATCTTTCCCAGGAATGTGCATATTATTATCATTAGTAATATGCAATGCTACTGGAGGATGGTGGAGGAGAGTTATTAGCGTTGTATCACAAACAGAGACGCTCAAAGTTACATGAGCACTACGCCGGTGCAGCAAATGATGACCGTGATATCGTTAGGTTTAGAGTAGAATTACACGAGGCGAATATAAAGTCCTTCACAAACTACATCTATAAAAATGCAGAAAAGAGGGGCAAGAGAAGTGGGGGAAATTAGGCACGAAACGGAGCGTTACCACACAAGCAGTCAGGAAACCAAAATGCCTTGGATGTAACAGGCTAAGAAGATGCTTCGGTCCACAATAAATGATACATGCAAGGCGTACGAAAACACTGTCCCAGTTAATAAGTATACTCGAGATAATAGCTGCTAAAATGGTTACTACAGCAGCAGAGAGTGATACCAGTTCCAGCTATGAAGAAGGTTCGGCAACCCCAGAGGATTAAGCACCGATAGGGTGCATTAAAAAATCCCGACTGAAAGTTTAGAAAAGCCTAAGTAAATACTTCTAACAAGAAAGCAGACTATGTAAAGTCCAGGTGAATATGTGATGAAGGCATTTATCAATGGGAATGGAATCAGTCTGTAGGGAAAGGGGAAGAGTCATCACACCAAATCCATGGATTTTGGAGGACAGAATGAGGCAGTGGGCGAAAAGAGAGGGGAGAGGAAAGTAAAACACCAAGGGAATTTGCAGAGCAATCCACACATACATCAGCCGTGAGAAGAAATCATACGGTGACAAAAGGGAATAAGAGAGAATGTCATCAACAAATGGAATTCGGTTCAACTCAGAGGTTTACCGTTTAACAAGTGTTTGGTACTCCGATGAATAGAATATTCCTTTAGGGATAAGATGTATAATCAGAGAGACTCCAGCGTACAAATTTCCCTCCTTTGGCGGTGTCACTAGTGCGTGCAACAGGTTCTGGTTGTCCGATAGTGCGGATATAAAATCCGAGTTCGGGCAGTCCAAAACCAAGAAATTTGGGGTAAACGGAGCGGGTGAAGTGACCTCATCAGCTGAGATCTGGAAAATAAGTTGAAATTCTAGAAAAGATCAAGGTTCCATGCGGATGGGAGGTTGAACAAAAGTGACAATGATCTGGGATGGACCAGAAGAGTGATGGGGAGCTGGTGGGCTTCTAGTGTGTTTCGTCAAGTCCGATCTGCACCGGGGCAACTCAAGCAAAAAGTACTAATCTTGGCAGAAAAGACCATCCGGTAACAACAGAAGTAGTAAAAATATATCGGATGAACGGGGAAAAGAGGTTCAGAATGCAGCCAATGCAACACAAAGGAATTGTGGGTGTGAAAATCGGTAAAGATAACCAAAAGGGTTGCATATGCTACTGAAGTAAAGATAAGTGAAAGAACTCTATCGGAGGTAAACAGTTGGAGTGGTTCAGTGCCAATACGCTAGTTAAACAAATACATCAATGAGGCAGGTATCTATGGAAACATTCGTGTTGCATACCATCATTATCGTCGTGAGCCGGTTGTGGGAGGTCAACGGATGCACACATGCAAGCATACTATTGACTGTCAAACGCCCCTAATTCAAGTGTTACTAACGGAGGTGGTTAACCATGTTTGGTCAATTCTCTGCTTCGGAATAGTCTCCATCAATCTGCATGGACTATAAAGGCACAATGAAAAAGGCCTATTCCGACGGTGCATCGTAGTTGACCACAGACAGACCGGAAGAATACTGGTTTCGAGATGAAACGCTCAAGCTACAAATGAAGTCACATAAAGAACGGTCGATAGAAATAGACCCTTCCAATTAAGTGAGAAAATATTAAGCTTCACAAAGATCCCAGTACGTCGTTTATGTACTGATGTGTTGAAATTATGCCGGTAACTGAGAAGGGAGGATGCAAGGCCCCAAACTCTAATTTACAGTGAAGAGAATGTCGCCTTCAATGTCGCTGTGGTTAAAAGCCAACGGTTGGATCACCGCTGAGCGATACTGAGAGCGAACGGATATATATCGTCGCTGGCTTAAAACCTTTCCTAAGACCATTTGTCGAGCCTGACTGTGTCACAGTGAAACGATGTTGCTTTTCAAGCGACACTCACAGGTGGTACATAACAGCTGTGAAAAGAAAAGAGCGTTGAGATAAGAGAGTGGTTGTATCACGGAACAGGTCACGGTCCCGCAACGGTTGGCGGCATCAATCTCCGGACTTGAATGTTAATGCGAGTGCAAACAGCCACAGGAACGGTGCACCCAAAGGGAACTATGGGTGGGATTCGCCGCACCACTCAAGATCGCATCTACACACCTCATATTCAGTGTAAACCTGAAGGGATAAGACTGGGAAACATATACATGGAAATTAAGACTGGTTCAGATCCAGCCCACACACCTTCAGCATGTACATTGTGTATAGGAAGCGGAGAAAATAAGCATACCGGATGTACACAGGGTGGAAAAAAGTTATCAGAGCAGTCGCCGGTGCGTCGCGCCGATGCTTCGCTGCTCCGTGAGCACCAGCAGTCATGTGTGCGCATTTGCGCAGACTCAAACCGGGGACGTTCGGACACCTCATCCCTTCGGGTGCCGGTAAAAGGGGTGGTAGCTAGATCGTAGCCAGCTCCATAGTGGATTGAACCACTATCTTAGCTTAGCACTATCACGAAGATTGCAGCTCATTCCTCCCGGGGACAACTAAGTCTCCTGCAGTCAGTAACTGAAGTGGCGAGTTTCGACAGATAAGCACCTTGTCAACATTCGCATAAAGTGTAATCAGTTATGAGATGCCACTCGGAGATAAACACTAATCATACATCGCGTTAGTGAGAAAGTTGATCGCCCACCCTCTTCAGTGATGTATCGCACTCACTGACAACTGCACAGGCGCACTGGCTGTTCATAATGGTGCTGACCTAACTCATCGCATGCTCTGTCCTATCTACAAATCTCCTGAGTAATCCAGAGACCGCTGACCATAAGCTGTTTCGGGATGTTGATGTCGTATTGATTATCCGGTGAGATCAAGTACTCAACTAAGTTAGAGTGATCACGGTCCCAGTAGTAATTGAACAACAAAGGCAAAGGTCTCGAGTCTCGTCACTAGCCTGAGACAAACATTAAAAGATGCGTTACGACGCAACGAAGACACAGAACATATCAATGCAGAAAGAGAAAAAACCAGAGTGAATGTCGCCTGATGATAACGACAACATAGATCCTGAATGCTAAAAGATCCGATATGAAATGTGACCCTCAGCTCGACAAATGATCCAAGCTCATTATAAGGACATGTTTGGAATCTGGAGAGAATCGCGCTAATGATTCGGGGACGAGTAGGCAAACGGAGGACAGGACAGAACAGGATCCACAGACGAAACAAAATTCCGCTTAATGAGTGTCCCGTTTCATGTGCTAGGAAGCGAAAAAGAGCCCCCAGCTCTGCGACTTGATAGAACGTTCTTCATTAGTACACTACTACACACGGCAGAGAACCGTATATGGAGTGTGCTGTTCTTCCTATAGACCTCAATTCGAAGACCGTTGTCCAAAGACCGTTCCTCAATCTCTGGCGAAGAGGATGAAGTTGAAGCTGAGTGCATCTGATTTCAAATCAATGGACTGTCTGGTACGAGTGACCTTTAAGGAGTTTTCGCATCGCAGCCGTCGCGTAAGTTTAGTGTACAGCTTGCTGCAATGAACAGATGTCAGAATCCCCACCACATCCAACCAACCGGTAACCAGAGTGAGGTGAGTACTGTGTTATTCGCAAGCTGCAATACAGTGGTGCATCAGGGGTAAGCAGTATGGTACAAGTGAGTAAGTCGGACGGATCAGGCCAAGCATGAACACCCACAAGGCTTTATCCCTTACGGTACCACTCATTTGTGAGATACTTTGCTGGACATGGTGCAATGTGGTCATCCCCACAACCTTCGCTACAAAGTGATTCCGTGGTCATTTCTGTGTTATAAGTCTGTCTGTGGTCTCTGGGCATTCACTTTGTGACAAACCGTTGGAGTGGTCGATGACAGGCCCGGCACCATCCTAGCACAATGCATCAGCACATCGAGTGTGGAACAGTGAGCGCAATCATCGATCGGGAGCAATGGAAGCTATACGCGTGCTGCACTCGAAATTCTATAAGATGATTCTGTAGAAAGGGTAAAGGCGAAACTAACCAGCAATCCACCAGAAAGCTTCAGGTCTTCACCTTCTAATAAGCACCGCACAGCAGGTGATTCCAAAACAGACCTGGAAGAGAACGAAGAAAAGACGAGACACATGAATACGGTAGAGATGGGCGGATAGACCAAACGTGGTAAACTGTAGAAAAGCCCCTTTAGTGGGGAAAAACTAGCCAGAGATAAAATCAAAATGTAACCAAGAGTACAATGCGGTAACTAATCTACTGCCAAATTCAGCAACAACAAAAAAACTAACTCTTTTGCACAGATGATACCCAACAACTAACTCAACAAGAGAACAGTCCCTGTTCAGCATACTTGCTGGTGCAAGACCAAGAAAATTCGTGCATTTCAAAAGACAGAAAGCCGACTTCAAGGTGGATGGTAGCCATTGATGAATCCTTCCACACAGACTAGACAGATCGTGAGACGTACACAAGCCAAGCTGATGTCATTAGTGTTTGGAAGCTTGCTGTAAGAAATGATCCGAAACACTGTACGGTTGCCAAGTACAACGAATAGAAGTACAAGGGATTTACTTATCTTGACTTGCATCGCCTTAATATTGAAAAGCTGGAATAATTGCTAAGGAGATTCATTACAGCCACAGTTAGACAGGCGCTTCATGTTCAGGAAACAACTGAGTGATCCATTTATCCTTTCTAGATCTGTCAGCAGTGTCAAACGTGAAAACTGCAAACAAAGTACAATTTGGAAGAGGAGCAAAGCAAAGCTAGAAGCGTTGAGTGGAAGGTCTGATTGCCATAAGCAATAGCACGAACGCAAGAGCCCTGCAAACTACTCAACAGTGCTGTATCGACTAGCGACACTCACTGCTGCGGTGTCGTGCGGGAAGACCACAAGTACCGACGTAATGTCGGCCGCCTGTGCTGTAATTCATGTGCGATCAGCAATTCATCGAGTAGCCACCGTAGAAGGCATACATGATGATAAACGCTCAGGTGGATAAGCGGGAATTTCACGAAGAACGTGACCTACTCAGCACACCTAACGCACAGTATAGTAAATATGCAACTACCATAAAACGACAGCTGACTGACATTGCTGGCAAATAATCGGTTGTTATAGCAAATGCAGGTACGGCTAAATGGGAACAGTGAAGAAAAGACAATAACTCCCGAATGCCTTCAGAGCCAATGACAACAGAGAAAATAAACACTGTGAAAGGACCAATGAAATAGTGCAGTCGATTTCATATGATTCGAGCAATCCTCTACCTTGGAAGTCCGAGTGCCAAGCATTTGTCCTTGTCGAGTTTCAAACGTGGTTGTATCGGCTGAAAAAGGAAGAAATAGCGAACGATTATCAAATAAATGATGCAAAAAGGTGGGCCATTCAAGCAAAGCAAAAGAATGCGAAACCTGGGAGCCCACAGGGCAAGTGATTGAAAGGAAACAGGAGAAAAAGAAAGGGGAAGGAGAGACGATGAGAACAAACTTCACTGACAAGAGCGGTGTCATGTGGCTACTAAGTAATTAGCAAACAAGAAGGCAGGATAGTGAACAACCGTAAACGTTTTGAGGCAACAAGCAAATAACACAATTAATCCGAGACATATGCTGTTTCGGACAAACGTTTCCTATCACCGAAATTCGGAGTGTCAGTGAGATTACTTAGAACCTAGTATCATAGAGGATCCGTCCACTGGTGCTTAAGGACACATCTGTTGTGCCGAATTGAATGGTGTAAAATGGAATAAATGCTGAATATTGTACGGGGGAGCAAGTGAAAATTTGAATCTGTACAATTCCATCGCTGAACAATCTCCTCCTGGTGCCATCTGGGTGGTTCGCAGTAATCTCGTTCCAGCGAATGATTCGGCGACAGTGTTCCAAGAGGTGGTGGGCTTCGCCTGGTAAGCGTACTCCGTACAAAAAGCCGAAAATGTTTGTTTAGCGACACTGCGATGTGGCGAATGAGACTCGCCACTAACTAGTCACTAAATCTTATATATACAGATGATCTTACCTAATCCACGGACATCAGCCATCCAATACGATTTCCATTAACCACCTATCATGCCGACGGTATGACCAAAAACAATCACAAATACGGTGTTACATTCACAAATCCAAGCAACACAGCCATACACATTCATGCCAACCGAAATCCATATACATCTAATACAATGATTTATGTCACTGATAAACAATTACTAGTATTTACATTTACCCGTCCGTAAAATTGGTGTCACCATGACCATGCTTATGCAGGCGTGTCTCGCAATGTCGATAATAAAACAATCATATAATTTAGTGAAAAAATATCATCCACCCGCAGTAATCTAATCGTTCTGCAAGTTCTTATGTAGCATTGAAAATTCTGGGCTTACATACGTAAGATATTAGTGTTTAAATGTAATCGTTTAGTGAATCGAATGGTGGCGAAATATAAATTCAACAAAGTTTGGAACTGCTGCACAATGTTGGCCCCCACGACTTGTTCTAACAGAATGTTCGAGGTATACGTGTGGGGAAATCGCTTTATATCTTGCACAAGAACCTTGTACCGGTGTCCGCATGTGCTGTAGAGTGTTCGCAAGTGAAACAGCGGTCTCAGCATGGGGAAGTCACGGAGATGTAATATATCGTAAGTCACGATGAGGTAGACTAATACCCGACTCTAGGACAAGGTGTATGTTATGGGGACCCAACGTCCCTATAATTATTAAAGGCTTAAATTACGGAAGGCTGAAAACCCGAGTTACTCGAGTGCACATGTACTCAGACCAGACAAAACGCACACGTTTCAGTCAGCCTTCCAACTCGTGAAACATTCACATTGTTAGCCTTTGCACCCAGAAACAGTCTTGTTTCCAACCAAACACGCATTGTTGTATCCAAGCAACATTCATTTTTTCGGACAACTCTCGCCAAACTTCCAACATTTCTGCTCAGTTTACGGACTTTGCACATGTACATAAAACCATGTTTCTTGTTTCCAGGGTTTGCGTAAGCAAACCCTTCCAAGGAAAAACCCCCCTTCATCACCGTTTCGAGATATAAAAATGAGGCTGTACAACGCTAGAATCGCCTTCGCTTTGGCCAGTAAAAGCGCCTGTGGCAAAGGCCTGTCTTGTTCATGCTTCAGTCTTGGGTTGGGAAATCGTGCGTAGAAACTTTGCGTTTGGTCTAAGAACCTGTTCGACTCGCGTGAATTAATCTTTCGCGGCTAAGTTCCGAGAACCCATAGACTTCGAGATTGTCAGTTACTGTGCCGTGCGAGAACTAATTCTGAGTCTCGTTCGTTCATCCGACTAGGAGTCTTGGTATCACATTGTTAGAACCTGACGTATTCAAGAGGCAGTATTTAACAGTGTAGAGTCCTAGTTTCTCGCAATGATCTTCGTACGATAACCCTCGTAAACTTGGAATGAGCCTGATGACAACCTGTTGGACCCCTTCGATCTTTCGTGCTACACTTCGGGTGCTTAGACAGTACGAGGGTAAACCGTACTCCAGTAATGACCTTATGATGGAAAAGGCAAGTGGCGACCTCTTCAGATAAAGTACAGTTGCCGCGTTTGAGGGCCAAAAACATGCGCGGTCCCTTTCGGTGTGGCCTGTCCGTGTTATCAACGGAGTTTAAATCGCAGCGTGAGAGTACATCCAGGTGCTTCACGGAAGGCGTGGGATACATCAATGTAGTAAGTTCGGCCGTCATCCCGCTTCCACTGGCTCATGAAAACCGACTTGCTCGGATTTCCGGCAGGCGGACTTCCACAAACCACATGGAGAGACGGTCTAGGTCTTACTAAAGTAGATCGCAGCCGTCTCGGGTTCTTATTACTCTCTAAATATTCAGTCGTCCGTAAACAGGGCGACCGAAGACGCGAGGTAGATTGTTGATGTGGATTAGGGACAGTGGCCGCCAGCATAGTGCTTTGGGGAATACCACTAGTAGAGGGATACCAGTCGGTTAGATTGACATGGATCTGTACCTTCAGTTTCGCCCAACGAGAAAGTCTAGGATCCGTTGGTGCAGTGATTCCGCAACACCGCACCTTCTCAGATTGTGAAGGAGGACCACATGATTACTGCTGATCAACGCTTTGATAAAACTGGTGTAGATTACGTCGAAAGATTTTCCCTGGTTCACTGCCTGCAAACATTCATGCCTTGTCATCAGCAGCTTGGTAATGCATGAGCGACCTAGCATAAGACCATATTATGCGGGTGTCAGCAGATCATTTGAAGTACGCGGAATCGGTGTAATTCCGGTGAAAAAATGGAGGTGGCCGGCAAACACGCTGTAGGTGACGATGTGTGGTTTACGAACGAGGTTTCTACCATCCCTGCCGAGTTCAAAGCGATGCAGAAGGTCCCGTAGCCAATGGCTATGAATGAAACTTGATGTGTAGCTGCTGAATCCAGTTCAGTTGAACAACGATGATCCGAGCACCGAAGTGCGGCGGATCCAGTTGCTCCAACTCAGATCGCAAGAATAACAAGAAATAACAGCAGCAAGATAATGGAGTTAAAGTCAAATAGAATGTGCGTTAAACTAAGCAGAGTGGAACGAAAGTTAACAACCAGATGCAAGAAACCGAATGCAATAACGTCACTGACTGCGTGACTGCGTCATGTCTGACACGGTCTCCAACCACTGGTGCGGATAATCCCGAGGCTCCCATCCAAGAAGACGGCACATACCCGCCCGACCGAGTCCTCAGTAAATTTTTTCATGACACTATGCCACGTCATGGATTGGTCACCTCGCGGTTTCGCCCAACCAAGTTCAGCCACGGCGTATAATGCACGCCGAGGAAGCTGGCAACGGGTATACAGAGGACATGGCCTAGCCAACGCAAGTGACTAAGATTTATTGAATACTCGACAGAGGCACCAGAAGGCTTCTTGTCAAAAACCAACTGGCGGACCTCAGCATTGCTCACCCGGTGTTCCCACCAAACGTGAGCAATACTCCGCAAACACCGGTGGTCAAACACGGCCAAGCGTTTAATGTCTTCACTGTGAAGTGGCCAGGTCTCCGATCCATACAGTAACATTGGCCTTATCGCAGCGTTATACACCCTACCTTTCACTACTAAATAGTAAGCCATTAGCCGATGGTTTATCTTACGTTCAATGACAAGGTGGTTCAGGGAGGCTAAGTAAACTTTAGCACGAGGTAGCAAAAGTTATCGCGGGAAGTCGTCACGAACAACAGTGATATAGTCACCACACACTACGTCAACTTGTAGGATCATCGGGGAGTGAAGGAAGAGTAGGAAATGAGGCGATCAAATCCGACTGGAAGGTGCAGACGTCACAGCAAAAGGACTAGAGATTTGTACTTGAGCGATTCTACACAGACTTCGTTAGGAGAATAATTTGTCTTCCAGGCGCCTTGTTCATCCGATCTTCCGAAATGACTGCCGTTGTTTATTGGCAGGTTAAAAGCAGTTAAGATAGTATGAACTAATGAAATTCAACTAGAACATCGAGGGTTGGATATACTGTAGGCGGAGGAATGGTATTAGATGTAGCATTACTAGTATTGGCAGTATGGAAGTCCGATCATTGGCGTGATCAGTTCCCATCGGTCGAGTTACCATGGTACTGCACTGGAGATACATGGATCTAAGAACTATTGCTCTGTTCAGCATGAAAATAACAAATACCACCGGCCAATAATGAAATTATTACTGACTTAAAAGCATATTAATCTGAGAAAAGTCGTGAATTTATCTTTCTCCCACGCTTCCGCTCCTGCTGCTTTCGTCGTTTGCCAAGTTCCATCAGATGAAAACACTACATTCGTTGTCAATCCTACCTCCGTTAGTTCTGCCTCCGATGCTGGTTTTGCAGACACCCAAAAAGCTCAATCGACAGTTATACTTCAACCTCGATCGATGTTCCGATTGGTCTGCTTCAACGTACGAACGCTTATGCAGATTGGTCAACAGACCGTCCTGACGCGTACCCTGGAGTCTCTCGCCATTGACGTTTGCTGCGTTTCAGAAACCCGGTTGCAGAATCCCAGCAGTATACTCAGGCTGACGTCCCCCTCTGATCGTAGAGCCATATACCAACTGCGTCTATTCACTGACTCAGAAGCAGCTGCAGCAGATCTGCCTGGCGTTAAGTAAGAAAGCCGAAGCTACGTTGCTAGACTGGTTACCAGTTAACAGTCGACTTTGCGTAGTTCAGCTTCGGGGAGCACGTCGTATCAACAGACATCGCAAAGAAACACGTAATTTGTTTGTCGTTTTTGCCTACACCCTAACTGACTGTAACAGCGACTCTGTCAAGGACGATTTTCACCGCGAACATT